TCTCCCTCGAGCTCAGAAAGCTAGCGCCCCGATCATCTTTCGCCTCCCCGACATGATATTCCGACAAGTACGACTCTCAACTCCATCTTCCGGGTATAGGACCGCCTTCCCTATCTGTCCTCCTTATTTTAAAACAATAAATTTTTAATGTATGCATGTTTAGCTGTTTTAAAACAATAAATTTCCTTCACCGTAAGAGTTAATTAGAACCATCCTTATTTTAAAACAATAAATTTCCACGTCATTGCCACAGTAACACACATATTTTTTTGATAATATATTTAAACATGCATACATTAAAAATCATAAATTAGTATTGTTTAATATAAAGATAAGCTAAATGACCCAAACTATTATGAGTTTTATCTGTTTTAGTTTGCAGAAATATTTTAGGAACATGCATTTCGCATTATAAACAAACCTTTCAATTGTTGTAAATTGTGTCCTACTAGTTCAATTGGACAAACTTTGAGTCGATTTGTAGGCTTCTCAATTTTATCCGATTCAGGTAGCCTAAACAAAAATTAAAACTCAAATAATAATTTCATTTTCCAAATATACATGCAAAATTTGAACTTATATAACAGTCTGCCAAAATATATAACAATTTTCAAGAAACCCTACTTTGTCAAAAATTCCTTAATCACAAGTATGTCTTTGTTGATTTGAAACTTTGAGTCACTTAATCCATTAGACACTATGGAATTGTTCCATTAAACAATTCATATAAGAACAAAATAAACCAATTTACATATAACAACATCCTGAAGATTCAAATAACAATTACTGTAATATGAAAATACTTTGGCAATCCTTTATCATTGCATGAGTCAAAACAATTACAATAGCTCCACAGTTTGACTCATCATTGTAATAACTCAGAAACTTCAATTCATAATTATCTCATAAACTACAATTTATAACATTGTCTCTGCATATAATTCAATAGTAAGTATAATATTATGTAATAACTTTATTATATAAGTATGAACATGTTAAACAGCAAAACACTAATACCCAAAATTCCTCAATTTTAATGAAACGACAACTTTCTTTCCGCTAGACTTTGATTGATAATTGTTAATCTCATGAACAACACCAATTACATATGATAAAGAAATCGACATTAGATTACAGATGAAAAAAATATAATCTAAGATGAAAACGTGTTTTGTAACAATATAAAGCAAGTACCATGAAGTCTATCAACTTTGCAATTTCCTTGGAGGATTTCAGAAAATTCCTTGAAAAAAAACTTATTAGAGGGTATATTGGCAAGCTCAGCAGACTTCACAGTTGTGACACTTAAGAAAAAATTTCTTCAGATGATCGCAAACCTTCCATTGAAATTCATTATCATAACATTACCGTTATTTATGATGCAAGTCATATCTTCCTTCAACAATTGCTTCCATTTTATAGTGTGGTTGTGTCGAATCAATACCTGTATTCGATCACCCTGTAATACAAATAATATAATTTGACATTATTATGAAATTTTACAATGAGTATAACATAAAGAACATGAAAATGTTGTATTATATGATATGAAACAAACCTTTGAATCCATTACAACCATTTCAAGGTGTTCTATGCCCTTGCTATTAACTATCATCCACATATTTGTAATATGAACAACAAGATGCCATGTCTCCTTAGAATCATCAATATCAACAACGTTGTCGAACCTGCGTGACATTGCTGTCTGTACAATCAAACGGATAAACAATGTCAACACGGATCATGACTGCATGACGAAATAAATCAAAGGCTTATAATAGCATAAGCTCATAAATAAAAGAAAGTTAATAAGATTAACATTGAGAACATGCATAAGGAATGAAGAATGTAAAGCAAAACGCAAAAAGAAAGCAAGAAAATAAGGCACAAAATAAACCCAAGACTCATATTAACAAACTAAAGTCCCTATAAGCAAGTAAATAAGAAAAACAATTGCAACATACAGAAGAACAAAAGAAGATACACATGACGAAATGAAAATCAAGAACGGATGCAAAAACAACACACACACACACACACATGACAACAACATATAACACGAAGTAAAACAACATAACGAAGAAAAAAAACACAAACTAAAAGTAACAACTTTTAACAGCAAAATAAATTATGACTTATAAAAGTAAGTAAATCAGATCAACCATGACAAAATGCATAGAAACGACACAACGAAATGAATATGGAGAATAAGAAGAAAAAGAAACCAACAAATATACAATAAAAGTAATCCATGTCTACGGCATGCAAAAATCAAGTATATCAATTTAGAAATATGACAATAAAATTGTATAGACGAAGGAAAAATCAATGAAAAACTATATCTCTCGTACGCCAGTTGCCCTTTCGGTTTGTGTACGAAATGAAAATGGCAAATTCAACAGGTTTGTGGAGGTTTCAGAAGTTCAAAGGATCTTTACTATTACATGATGCAGTTAACTATGGATATATACATAGTATCATGGGAAACACAAAAGTTTGAGTATTGAAGTCTACATGATGGAATTGGATCCTCTCCAATTTTTTTCTCTCATGCCTTCTCTCATGTGCAATTTTGAACCCTTGATTTAATCCAATCATTAAAAACATCAAAGAGAAAACATAACATTTAAAGATGAAAGAAAATGCATATCTATTTTTATTTTCATTTATTTTATCATTTTTATAGTATTTATTTGTATTATTATTTTTATGTTTTATTATTATATCAATCATTTGATTAAAATTGAAAATAACAACAATTTAATTAAGGAAAAATTATTATACACATCACAATTAGATTAATCTAACAATTAAAATATGTGAAAAAGAAAACATAACATTTAAAGAAGAGAGAAAAATATATATTTATATTTTCCTTTTTTTAATCCAACTTTTTAGAAATAAAATTGAGAACATTTAAAGATTACATAGAAAATTGTCAATTTTTACTTTAAATTTTTTGATATTTTTTCTTATAATATTGCTAAAGTAGTTAAATCACATTAATTAAAGACATTTTACAATTAATTAAAAATATATTTTAAAATTAATTAAAGAAGATTAAAATAATACTCCAACATAAATAAAAAAATAAAAATTTCATAAAATGTAAAACATATCTTCAATATTATAAAAAATGTAGAGTCTCATATTAGTATTATGTTTTCGTTGTCATGAACGACCATCATACTCAAATGATTAATAAGAAATTGTATATTTTCTTTAACAAATTCAATCTATCAAAAATCATGCCGTTGTCACCAAAAAAATCCATCAATCGTTATTATTAAACATGGTGTCATATTCAAACCTAATCTTGTTGCAACCATGCGTAGTTATCGGTAATGAAAAATACACATGTGAATTGGTCGAGTCTTAGGAGTAGGCAATCAAAACCACCATCTAAGGCCTCAACTTTTTAAATTATTTAATAGAAGCTAATTATTTCTATAGGAAAAAAATCAATTATTTTTAGATTATATTTATAATAATTAAATAATAATATTTATTTAAAATGTGTATTAGTTAGTTAAAAAATAACTCTTATAGATATAAAAAACACTCAATATAACAAAAAAAACTTGATATTTATTATTTTTATTTTTGAAATTTTAACAATACTTTTTTAAATAAATTTTGAAAATATATTGAGAAGATTACATAAACAAGATGGTTTTATTATCAATGAAAAATAAATTTTAACACGAAATCAATTCTAAAAATTAAAATAATTTCTTTTCATCTCAAAAACTCATTACAATTTAAAAAATATATATAAATTTTACTAAAATATTATTATTATATTAAAAAGATTTAATTTTAAATTTTTTCTAAAAACTCAAGATGTGTTGGGTCGGCCTTGCGATGTATATAATAAATTTTTCTAAATTAAATTGTTGTTATTTTCAATTTCAATCAAATAATTAATATAATAATAAAACATAAAAAATAATAATATAAATAAATACTATAAAAATAATAACAATAAATAAAAATAAAAATAAATATGTATTTCTTTATGCTTTCTCTTTTATATTTTTAATGGTTAGATTAAATCAATAATTCAAATTGCACATGAGTAAAAAAATGAGAAAGAATCCAATTCTCTGCCTAATAGATGTAGCAGTAAAAACATAGTAAAACATTTGTTGTAGTCGGAAAAATTAATACAAAAATGAAAGAATTCACATGAATCAAAAGGACTTCTACATTAACATAATTAAGCAAATAAATTGACCAAATAACCCTTGAATTATAGCATGTAATTTGATTTAAGAATGATAATAATGTAAATATCTAGAAGGTTTACTTTTATATTGTAGTAGTAGATAGTATGGATGATTGCTGCGATTTGAATGTAAAAATTCAATCAAAATATATTTATTGGCTGTTCGATTCAATTTTAGATAATTAATTTAAAAAATTTAAATTAACCCAATTTAATTTAACATGCTTTAGTTTAGATTGAGTTTTGGATATCCTAATTTTAAATTATGTTTTTATTAAAATTATAAAATTATTAATAAATAATATATTAAATATAATATATATATATATATAAAAAGTTAATATTCCAACTTGAAAAATAAAATAATAAAAATATACAAACTAGTTTGGTTTGTTTTAAATGGATTTTAAAAAATCTATTTGAAATTTAATCCGACTCAAATAGTTTTTATAAAATGACATTCAAAAATATTTAATAAAATTTAGTTTTTTTGTGGCGTTTAATTTTTTCAAATTGATTTGCAATTTTTTAGTAGATATGTCCGAATTTAACATCCTAATTATTAAACATCTTTTAAATTTTTTCACTACACATCTTTTACGGAATATATAGTATTTGAAACGGAAAATTGTATTGATTTCAAATTTTTGCTGAGCCGCACTGAACTCTAGTGCGTAAATCTTCCGTCAAGAAGAAGCTATATATAAAACGCAGCTACAGTTCTTAGTCGGACGCAACAACCACCCACAAATCTCTCTCGAATTTGATCAAAATGTCGACTTTCGGAGCCGCAAATACAAATCCTAACAAGTCGTTTGAGGTAAATTTCGAATGTGCTTTATTCAATTCATGGTTTATGTATTCTAATCATTCCATCATTTTCCATAACCCTACCTTCAATTTTCAGGTTACGCAACCACCTTCTGATTCCATTTCGAGTATTTCTTTCAGTTCCAAGGCCAATTTCCTCATTGCTACTTCATGGGACAATCAGGTTTTCAATAATTTTCTATCTCTCTTTCTCTTTCTTTCATGGTTTCACTCACGTTTTTTTGCCTAATAACAGGTTCGGTGTTGGGAGATTTCAAAGAATGGAACTACTCTTAACAGTACTCCCAAGGCTTCAATTTCTCATGATCAACCGGTAAGGAATGCCTTTGATATGATGTGTTAGGGCTAGATAGTTTGCGCCTCGAATGGCGGTGGTTCGACTTGATCATTTAGACTGATTTTGTTTGTTTCTTGTTGTAGGTTTTGTGCTCTGCTTGGAAGGATGATGGAACGACGGTTTTTTCTGGAGGTTGTGATAAGCAGGTCAAGATGTGGCCACTTTTGTCTGGAGGCCAACCGGTGACTGTTGCCATGCACGATGCTCCCATCAAAGAGGTTGCTTGGATACCCGAGATGAGTCTTTTGGCCACCGGAAGCTGGGATAAAACCATTAAGTATGCATATTCATTGTCGTATTCAGAGTCTTTTTGTATTAACGACTAGGATTTGCTACTTTACAAATTAATTTATGCTTTATTTTCCTTGTGTTAGGTATTGGGATACTAGGCAGTCCAATCCGGTGCATACTCAGCAACTCCCTGATCGCTGTTATACAATGTCGGTGAGGCATCCTTTGATGGTTGTGGGAACTGCAGATAGGAATCTGATTGTCTTCAACTTGCAGAATCCTCAGGTGCTATTTTATTCTAACATAAATTTTCATAATGCTGTTGCTTGTAGCTTTGTAAGGAAGAGGTTTGTGTCTTAATGTTAAATATGGGTTTTATACTTGAGAGATGAAGTTGCAACTATAAATTCTCTTCAGTTTCCTATTGGGTTAAAGCGTGTATGCTTGTAATTTTTCAACATGATGTGAAATCTGCATTATCTGCCTTTTCTCTACGCAGGTGTAATGTGCTGTTTATAATATTTTTATAAATATTAGAATTTGGATAACTGAACTATTGTTTGTGGAAATCCCTTGATTTGAGGTTCTCAACAATTTTCACTTGTGTATTTGAATGCTCTTTACCTTGCACTCGATCTAGATTATTCAAATTTCATTCAGTAGTATCACACCTAGGAAAAACCCTAAGCAACAATTAAATTGTTCAGAACAAGAAATTCATTATGCTAAAATAACTCGGTAGCTGTCTTGATAACCATGTTTTCTTTACTTCTACAATTAAAATTTTAATATGTACTTAACAGCATCGGAATTACACCTGATCTCTTTAAGCAGCCAACACGAAAAAATACAGAACTTATTACATAACTTCTTATTAGAGAAAATACAGAACTTAATATGTTTTTCTTTACTTCTACAATTAAAATTTTAATATGTACTTAACAGCATTGGGATTACACCTGATCTCTTTAAGCAGCCAACAAGAAAAAATACAGAACTTATTACATAACTTCTTATTAGAGAAAATTGAGTAGACATAAAGTTAACTGATGGAACATGCAACCCAAGCTGAACATGAGTGTTCTCGTTGACCCTTTTTTGTTTATATCAATGATGGTTTTATAATTTAAAAAATTATGGTTTTATATGTCTTACCGTGTGTTAAAGACTGTTTTGATCTTTTATCCAAATTTGCTGTGTTTAGATTTCACTTTTTCTATGATTTCTGGTTTTCATTGATTTTTAATTTTTGATGAGCTATTGGGTTCAATAAATGACGATATAAATGTCTTTCTTGTAACCTGTGGAATTCACAACAGACGGAGTACAAAAGAATAGTATCACCCTTGAAATATCAGACAAGATGTGTTGCTGCTTTTCCAGATCAACAAGGTTTTTTGGTATGTATTCACTCCTCACTTACACTCAAGTACAGTTATAGAAGTATGCAGTCTTAATTGCTACTCTTTTATTTTATTTTATTCCATCAGTGCAATGATGTGGGTCAGTTCTCCACTTGTAGTAGAGTGTTTATGACCATGCTGTGAAGAGGCTCTAATTGGTACATTGTATTGCACTCTTTAGACAATTGGGTTATCATGCATTATTTACTAGAAGGCTTTTGCACCGATACTATCTAATGACAACATCGAGGCCTTATTTATCAAGATAAAATATAGGGTGTGAAAATTGAATTTTATATTCACATTACCCTTTGCTGCATTTGTTTTGTGCATTACAAACTCAAACACCATCATTTTAATTTAAACAGTTTTGTATGTTGCTTTTATGCTATTAGGTTTTTTTTGGCGTTATTATCACATACATCCTTGGTGTATATGCATTAATTTTCTTGACTATTTTTTCTCTGTAGGTTGGCTCAATAGAAGGAAGGGTTGGAGTACATCACCTTGATGATGCACAACAAAGCAAGAATTTTACTTTTAAATGCCACAGAGAAAGCAGTGACATATATTCAGTCAACTCCTTAAGTTTCCATCCTGTAATACACTTAATAATATCAAAATTATTTAACTTTCATTTTGAAAGTTGTTTACTTAATATTCTTTTGTATATGGTCTTATTGATGTCTTTGTGTTCAGGTACATCACACTTTTGCAACTGCTGGATCTGATGGTGCCTTTAATTTCTGGGACAAGGACAGTAAACAGAGACTCAAGGTTCTAGTTTTGTTCCTAAACTTTCCTCCTCACCAATCTTTTCTTTCTGAATGCAATCTATGTAATTCCAAAACACAATAATTTTTTTGTATGGCCGGACATAAACATGATAAGTAACTCCTTGTTAGTTTTGATTAGTTGGAGAATTAGTCTACAGATGAGGAGGAGGTGCAAACCCTTGAAGTTCTGTCTGTACTTCATACCAGGGGATTCTTCCCTGGTTTTCTCTAATAAAAGAATTGGAGAGAATCTCTCAAGGATTTCCTCTTCACAATAGATAGTTCTATTTACAATTAATATATTCAAAGATACTCTCCTCTATCAAATGAAGGGTATTTAAAGACTTGCTTATAGGCTTAACAGTCACATAACAAACTAACCACCTGAACAGCTACCTAACAAACTAATCAACCAGCTAACTGATCACTCTAACTACTCATAACTACTTTAACTACACTAATTTCCCTTTATTCTAGAATCCTTACAATTACTGTATTAACGATGTATCAATCTAGAAAACAATACAGTCTTCTTTCCACCTTTAGCTATCTTTTATTAAGTTATTTACTGATATTTCATTTTATAATGTGTTTTGTAGGCTATGCAAAGGTGTGGTCAGCCCATACCTTGCGGTGCATTCAATAATGATGGCTCCATATATGCTTACGCGGTATGCTTCATATTGCTGTTTTAAAATTGTAGTTATTTACTTTCTATGCAATTTGTTTCTCCATTTACTATAATTTAATCAATAACCAAGTCAAGAGCTCTATAATTGGATCGTTAGAAAAATTTCAAAATCTAAATTCATATTTATCAACAGGCCCATTTTGCAATAACATCACATTTATCATTGTCATTTCTTAAGTAGATTATCACCCCAACTCTCTTTCTACCTCAAGTTCCTTATTTGTCGTAGCCATTTTCAATTAATTTTCTGGTGATTGAGAGTGGGTTAATGTGATATTCGTTTGAAGGCGCATTCAAATATGCTTATTCACTCGTTGAATTCAAACTAATAAATCAATGTTCAATTCTTTTAAATTTTGAAACACATCAGTCTTTTCCGAGCAAACAGAGTATGTATGCTGCTGCATATTGGATGAAGAATGAGATATTGGCACATCCTAAATTAAAATGCTAAATTGATGAATTTAGACACTGAATGACTTTGTTGAGGATACATGTATATCCCCCACCCCCTAAATAAAATAATAAAAAGAATATCACATAATACATGCATCTTTAGACAGTTAATTATAGCTAAAACACAGCATGAATAGCCTAAATAAAATGATAAAAAGAATATCACATAATACATGAATCTTTAGACAGTTAATTGTAGCTAAAACACAGCACGAATAGCCTAAATAAAATAATAAAAAGAATATCACATAATACATGAATCTTTAGACAGTTAATTATAGCTAAAACACAGCATGGATAGCCTAAATCCCATTTGTCAGCTGGATTAGATGTTTGAGTTAACTTGTCAGTTTTATTCAATAGACATGCTGATTAGTTGATTCTTGTTAAATGAAGAAATTTGCCATGTTTTCTTCTACGAACGTGCTTAATGAAGACAACACAAATTTTCTTGCTTTTTACGGACATGTTGATATGTGCCTTCAATTCAGTTAACATTATTTGGCTCTGAAACAACTTTTACACATGTTTATAGGTTTGTTATGATTGGAGCAAAGGTGCAGAAAATCACAATCCAACTACTGCAAAGAACTGCATATATTTGCACTTACCACAGGTACACACCTGTGCATGCAGGCATACATATGTGCATACTTGTGTTTAAATTGTTGAAGGATCTTCCAATGTATGAATTTAAACTAATTGGGTGGATGCATGAAAATGAAGGAATATATAAGAAAGAAATGAAATCAGAATTCTTTCCTTGGTGTATCTTGATTGTTGAGTACCGAGGAATTATGGTATATCTGCTCAGAGACTTTCGAGCAGGAAATCCTCTCCATACACCAAAACAAAAACAATAAAAAAAACTTGGGGGATGCTCCTTAATTTTCACTTGTCTTTAATTATCATAACGCATTTGAACGGACATGTTTATTTTTATTTAGTTTCCTTTCATTTTCCCATTGAGAGTCAGTTTAGGAATAACTGTTTTTCTCGTATGAGTAGGACTCTGAGGTTAAAGGCAAGCCACGAGCTGGATCAACAGGTAGAAGGTGAAGTTTGATGCTAAAGGTTCTGTGTTTTGCTGTCTCCATAGCAAGGATTTGGAATTAGAAGCAATAGAACAGCGTTTAGTGTTTTGGTGCAAGTGCAACAGCTAACATGATTAAACCCTTAATCAGTCTTTGGTTTTCATCTAAAATTTCATTTCTTAGATTTGTCCATCTTTCAGTTCTGCGACTGTACTTTTATCATTCTTTAGGGTTAGCCTGCTACTACTCTCTTATGATCACACATATAGACTTAAATGGTGTTGATATCTTTATAATTCATGTAGAATGTGGATTGATTGTGATAAGTTATTTTTTCTTGGTATGAATGTCATCATCACACAATGTATACCCCTACCACGTTTGTATTTTCGGCTATCACAAGTTCGATTATTTGTCGTGTGTAGTGTGATACTAGCATGCTATAAAAGCAAGGAATGTCCTTTGACCTAGAAACACCATAGTTAGGGAGCTTTCCAAAAGAGAGGATCCCATTTCTTTGTTTGACAATATTCTTGTAGTCCAAATAACACTTCCCCTTCTAAAAATAGTCTTTGTGATCTCTATATGATCCATATTGAATATGAGAATGTTATATTTTGTTTTGTTAATCCCACAAACAAAGAAATACGAATAGCATTTAAATACAATCCACTGCAAATTGAATAAGCCAAGCTAGTAAACAAAGCACACACACTGTCAAAGATTATTGTTTTAGTGACACAGACTCTATAGTCTTGCATAGCTCCTCCAGTTTCTTCAATCTCATTTTTTCACTCTCAGTCAGCAGCTATTCATAAAATGATAAACAGAAAACATGGAAAGAAACACAATATTATTACCATTGTAATTGTTAACAATGATATATCACTAGTGTTGAGAACTATACCTCAGTTAATGTTGCTACCAAATTAGTCTTCTCTTTGTTCTTTTCATTAAAAGCTTCCAAGCTTTCTTTATACTCTTTCTCCTATTAAGTAAATTTTAAAAGTCAGTTTTCACTATTATTTTGTCATATATGAACAAAGTAGTTCGTGTGTTAGGATGAATCATACCTTTTTCTGATAATTCTGTCCGAGTTGCTTTAAATCTTTGTTAGCCAAATCAATCTTTTTACGTATCATTGCAACTTCCTTCTTCATAGGATCTTCCAGCACTTCAAGCTCCTATTAGATTATTAAAGAAAACAAAGACATTAGCGATTGATGATTAACACTTCGCGCTTTAAATTTAGATTGTCTGATCTTTATCGAGCAACAGTATTTGCTGACTGCACAAATGCATAGATTTATGAGAGATGGTTGCATATGCTATTCCTAAACATGGAACTTACCTCCCAAATGTGTGCCAAGCGCCTCGTCTCTTCCTCGGCGCGTCCAAGTTGAAGTTCAACTCTCTCTTTCACCTCCATCTTTCTCCTCTCAATCTCTTCTTCCTTAGCTTGAAACGTGGAAATGGCCAGTTTTGAAATATCCTCATCTTCACCCTCTTCTGTTGAAAACCTCCCACTGCTTCCAATACTTCCAAGGTTCTTCATTTTCTGCATTTTGCCTCTCTTTCTGAAAATTAGACACATGAGTTTCTTCAAGACTTGCTCCTACTTTTATCTTTTGTTTATGTCAGTTACCATATAGGCTTGTTTTGCTTTCACTTCAATATTCTGCCTATCCATCACAACTCACAACAACTGGTTTTTAATTCTCTTGACTTGGAAAAGCAGTAAAGAGAGTTTTAGCCTTTATTATGATAATCTCTATCGAAATATGTATCTGAAATTAACACCTGTTTTAGCTTTATGAGGAGGTTTTATATTGGAGGCCACTTATTTTTGTCGTTAACACGTTGGTTTTCAGGAAATGAGACTTAACAATTAAAGTTTAGTTAAAATTATTCGATATGGATTCTTCTGAATGATTAGAATTAGAAACCTTAACTTTTCTAAGAAATAAGTTTGGAATAGAGAAAGTAATTCAAAGTATTTTCATTTCTGGAAAAGGCAGTTAGAATCTTATATTCAAAGTCAGATAATATGTACCGACTTGCATATATACCTTCAAGCCAAAGGCAGTTTGGGGAATCTCTACTATTGTGAATCCGTTGTCAATATCATGGATATTCAAGGCTTAATTTGTCATATATAATTATTTTTAGAAATATTTTGTTATTCTTTTTGAAAATAAAACAATAAAAGTTCTCTCATAACTAAATTATACATGAACTTAGCTATTTTTGAAAATACTTATAAATGATATATTAAAATCTAAAACCGTTAAATTAAAATAAAATAGAGTAGTGAGATTTGGAATAAGATGTTAAACTTGCTCAAGTAAAAATATTTCTCCTCATTATTGTTCTAGGCCGATTACAAAGTTTCAGTAAAGAGCAAAACTTAATAATCAGGTGAAGGAAATCGTGACAAATGTAGACTAAATAAATATCACTTTTTCAAGGGGGAACAAAGCAATCAGAGGTGGCCCTATAATAGAAACAAAAAGAAGGTGAAGTGACTGCCATGTAAATAAACATGGCATTAATGGTCGAGGAGCTGAAAGATATGGGAGTCCGACCTCCATCCAATAAGATGTCATATGGAACTAGAAAAGAAAAGTCGCTAATGAGAAGTTAACTCCGCTCCATGGAACAAATAAACGATAGAATAAACCACCCAATTATGATATGAATCAATTCCTAATAATTTCTTGTTATTAATGAAGAAATATATCAAATGTACTCCACTATGTGAACGTTGAAATAAAAAGAAAGTTATAACTAAATTATTTCTTTTTATCATAAAAGGTAAAATGAGTTTGGGCTACATCTAGAAGGATCAAAACCTCTCACACACAAAGAAAAAGCTAATGTCTAAGCTGGACCAAAACACCAACACACAAGCACGACATATACACCTAAAAGTTGGCAAAATAAAGGCATATTTCTCTTGGTAGCTAGCCTCTCCAAAGGTAGTGGTAGGCCTTCCAATACATCAATCTTGAACTAGGTCTACATTCGAAGGCAGTGGTACCCTAACTCTTATGGGTCTTTTAGTGTTAGTTTTCTTAGGCTTCCTCTTATTTTGCACATTTGCTTTTTAATAAGGCTTTGGATTCAAGACTTTAGATTTAAAATTTTGTTGTTTACCCTTAGGTTCTGGACCTTTCAGAACCTTGTAACTTGATGTCATAGGTTCTATCTTCTCCAAAAAAATTTACTTAGAAGTCACAGGTTCTGATTCTTTTAGAACCTTTTACTTAAGAATCATTGGTTATAATTTCTTTAGGACCTTTGGTCTTGGAATCTCAGGTTCTAATTTCTCCAGAACCTCTGACTCTACAATTATATGTTCTGGTTTGTTTAGAACCTTATCATTAGAAGCAGGTACAAACTGAGAGTACAAACCTCTTTTAGCAGAGTTTGAAAAAGAAGGATTTGATAGTTTTATCAAAATTCCAGTCCTTGGATTAATTTTTTTTATACGATAACTAAGACCTTCTCCTGTACTTCTACTTACATCATAGATCATGGATGTAAGTTTAGTTCCGTTAAATCCAAATATGACAAACTCTTGAAGATCCAATTCATACTCATTAAGAGGTTTGTCAAACACATTCTTTATTAAAGCAATATGATAACTTTCAAGTTTTTCAATCTTGTTTTTAGAGAAATTTAATTCATACCATATTGCTTCTTTATTATTTTCATATGTTTGGTTTTCTGCTGACATATATCAATAAGATTTTGACATAAAGTAATTAAATAAGATCTATAAAGTTTAGAGAATACCTCTTATACATCCTCTGAATCTGAGTAAAAAACAACTTCTGGTTCTGGTTTTGAGTATGAGAATGTTGAAGCCACTAGAGCTAGATTGACTTCTTCTTCATTGTTGTCAGCTTTTTCTTCCTCATCAAGTTCATCCCATGTTTCCATGGGACTTTTATTGAACTTGCTTATGAAGTTGTTCTTCTGGAAGCTTTCCTTTTTAGCTTTGTCACTTTGAAGCTCTAGACAATCAACTATGAAATAACCAGGCTTCTGACAGTTGAAGCAACCTTTCTGATCATCCTTGTTATCTCTGAAGCTTATTTCTCTGAAGCCAGATCTTCTGCCAAAGAACCTCATGTTCTTGTTAGCAAGATACTGAAATCCTTTTATGATGAAAGCCATTTTATCATTATTAGAATCTCCATCCGAAGCTTCAGAATGAGTGGCTTCTTTATGCTCCTAAGTCTGAGAATATTTCTCGAACCTCCCAACAGATTTCAAAGATAAAGACTTTGATTTCTTGATTTGTTCTTCATCTCCATTGAATTATAACTCAAGGCTTTGGAAATTACTTATCGAAATTTCAGGACTGATATTGTTCAGGTATTTAGCTTCCTGAATAGTTGTCATCTTAGGTCTGTATCTGACAGGAAGACTCCTAAGGATCTTTTTAACATGATCAGAGGTGGTGTAACTCTTGTTCAAAATTTGAAGCACAGACACGTGAACTTGAAACATTGAGAACATGGTTGCAATGTTCTCATCTTCTTTCTTCTGAAAAACTCATACTGCTGAACTAGAAGATTTGCTTTGCCTTCTTGAACTTGTTAATTTCCTTCATAGGTAGCACATAAAGATTTAAAAATAGTTTTGATAGTGGATTTGTAAGTGATATTTATATACTCAGAATAAGGCAAAGCATCTATAAGAATGCCTCTCACTCTGTGGTGTTTTCTATAGATCTTCTTCTGAGCAGGTGTGAGATTTTATGGCAGATACCATTCCAATACCATTGACTTGTATGTCAATGCCATCTTCAAGAATTTTCCATAGCTCATCATCAAGACCTACAATGTGAGTGTACATCTTTCTCTTCCACCATTCAAATTTAGTAGAGTATCCACTGAATGTTAGAGGTCTACCAATATAATTGTTCTTTTCAGATGTATTTTAATCATGATTATTATCACCACAAGGAGTACCCCCGCCTGAACCAGATAGTTCAGATTCATCATCCGTGATGTA